GCTAGTTAGGTTTGCTGTTAATGACTGGAGGAAGGCTTGGGAGATAGGATTAGGAGGGCTGTGAGTGCGCGATTCCATCAGTTGCCACTTTAATTGTAGAATTCACTGCAGGCTGAATGTGAAAATAGTGAAGAATAGTAGAAAAGCAGTTCCATTTTTTTGAAAATACACCAGTAAATCGTTCCCCTCCTCCACCATCTCTTAAAAAAAAATCCCCAAGATTCCTCTGATGGAAGAAAATATCTTTGCTTTTTACTAATGGTTCCTTCTTATTTACTGAATTTTTCCCACCAGAAAGGAGTTATCAGGAAGCCACGTAAAATCTTTTTGATGGGGCCTTGTTACTTCATCCAAACATTGTCTATAAAGTTCTCTTTCAAAGAAAGTAAGCTGTTTGGAAATGTAGCAGCTGATAACTGTGAATGTAACAAATGTCACATGTAGGGATGTTACCACTTCAGGTGGTCAGGATCATTGCACAACCAAAGCAAGTCTTGGTTCTTTGTGAAGAATTGGGGCAGCTGTAAGATAAGGGACTTCTGAATCATCCCTTTGGTCGGCTGGGCCTTGGGAGAACAGGTATGCTAACTACAGAGATAAGGAGGCTGCAGGATAATCTGAAGACCCCGCCGATCACCGAGACACGCCAAACAAACATATGCGAAGGACATTACCATATACTAATGAGTTCTTGGTAAAACTATGATAAGCACTTCTTGCAAATGTAATGAATATGTACGTTAACATAGCATAAATACCTAGTAAGTGTGTCCTTTCGGTGCACACGTTTGGAGGAGAGATCCCCCGTGTGCCCGACGCCGCAATAAAGAATACCTGCTTAATAGTCTGCTGACTATTGGGTCTTCAGTTCTGGCTTTTCACGGCATCACAGCAAAACCAGTGAGGGATATGAATATTTCTGTAAAAGCCTGGGCCTGTTAAACAAAAGCTTGTCAGATTACCAGGTGGAGGCAGAAATAGTTGCTTCTGTGGTCTTTTGTATCTGTTGCTCTTCAAACAACAGGGGATGGCTAGAAAAGCTTATGCTACAGTCAAAGGAGAGAGAGAGAGGGGAGAGAGGGGAAAAAGCACTGGAAGATGCTGATCTCGGTGACCCCAGAGCAACGCAAAATCACATGAGTTGTGATGGATTTACGCTCATGTGATGCTAACATATGGCTCCCAGGGTATTTATTGACGTACATAGCATCAATGAGGATAGTTACGCAGAGATTGTAAACTCTGGGGTATGGTGAGTGTGTTTTAACTTATAAATACAGAATATCATTTAAGATCAGTATAGGGACTCTACAAGCTCTACCAATGCACAATTTGTGCTATAAAAATAAAAGGCTATTTTTTAGTGCTTCTGGGGAATACATTGCATCGCTTCTCATCAAAACATGCAGACTTTTTGTGTAGTATATGTGCCCATTTGCTTCAAATCTCTACATATTTTTTACTGTTCTTGAACTATGTAAAAGAGTTGAAGTTCTTTTAAAAGTGACAGCTGCTGCGGGGAAATACGTTCTTACTCACTTGTTCTAGTCAAAGCCTGACTGCTGTGGCACACATGAAATAAGATGTAGAAAATCAGTCTCTTTTCTGTTTTTCCCAATGATATCAAAAAGTTCAGTTAGGACCGGCCTGGCTGAGTCTAGATTACCATTATTAATGAAAAAGCATGGCAAAGTCTCCAGCTCTCCTCTTGCTGTGATGGCTCTGCAGTGGGGTGGCTGGCACTGTAAAATCAAAATTTTTTTTTTTAAATTTTATTTTTTTAAATCAAAAAAACAAATCTGACTTGGAAACACAAAGGGCACAGATTTCCGTGTGAAATGGGGTACTATTTTCATACAGCCACCTCTCAAAGAGTAATTGCATTTTGATTACTACAGACAATGTTGGCTGTGCCAACAGGGACTCCACTAGCCCTGGGCTGGCACTGAGGTTTGTGTTTGTGCTTCACTGTTGTCCTGCCAGAGCTGGCTACTGGGTGCTGTGAAAATCCTGAAGATATGCCTGCTGATAGCTGGGTATGTGGCATAGGACTTTTTTTCACAGGCGATTTAGAGGAACAGTTTTTGTCACAGTAGCAAGACTACAGAGAAAGTATTATTGACTGAGTCTTCGGCTCTTCAGTAATATTCTAGTTTGGTGTTAGATTAGCTGCTTTAAGGGACAGGTGTTCATTAATTTGCTCCTTGTATTGCCTTTATTGCTTCATCCTACACAGTCTCCTTGGGAGCAGCCGGCCCAATGAGGAGTGAATTCCCTAGCTGACTCCAAAGTGGAAATGTTTTTTAGCTATTCTTTAAGATCCTTCGGCCCCTTTATCTACAGCATTTACATTGTGTAAGACCTTGTTGTCATAAACCAGTGTATTCTTCGCTTCCAGAGGACTTGCAGCACTGGAAGTTGAACAGGCATAGCAATTTTGTTAGAAGAAGAGCAAGGAGATCTTAGTGAAAAGAGGATGTGAGAAGGGCAGGTCCAGGGAAGATAAAAATGTGTATATGCTTGCACAATGCTGAGAATAGAGGGAAGTCAGATGAACCACTAGATAAAAGTGCCAGTGCCTTCTTGCAGAGGCCATTGGCACTGCTGCAGCTTACTGGCATGGATTATACAATATCTTGCTGTAAGCACTGATACTTTTACCGTACCTCTTACTATGACAAATTTAATTTCCCTTTTTCATTTCCCTCGTTATCCCTGGACTGATCCCCGTCTTGCTTCCTCTTTGTTATTCTCAGTTATGCAGGCTTATGATATGCATCTCTTACCAGACTTGCTGTTGCTTCTCACATGCC